ATAAAGAAGCAAACAACTGATAAAGGTGCTGATCATTGATCAAGGAGGTGATGACTGATAAAGAAGGTAACAACTGAAAAAGGAGCTGATGATTGATTAAGGAGCTGATGATTGATCAAGGAGATGATGACTGATAACGAAGGTAACAACTGAGAAAGGAGCTGATGACTGATAAAGAAGCAAAGAAATGATAAAGGTGCGGATGACTGATCAAGGAGCTGATGACTGATAAAGGAGCTGATGATTGATAAAGAAGCTAACAACTAATGAAGGAGCTGATGATTGATCATGGAGATGATGACTGATAAAGAAGCTAACAACTGATAAAGGTGCTGATGATTGATCAAGGAGGTGATGACTGATAAAGAAGGTAACAACTGCTAAAGGAGCTGATGACTGATAAAGAAGCTAACAACTAATAAAGGAGCTGATGACTGATAAAGAAGCAAAGAAATGATAAAGGTGCGGATGACTGATCAAGGAGCTGATGACTGATAAAGGAGCGGATGATTGATCAAGGAGCTGATGACTGATTAAGAAGCTCACAACTGATAAAGGAGTTGATGACTGATACAGTAGCTAACAACTGATAAAGGAGCTGATGATTGATAAATAAGCTAAAAACTGATAAAGGAGCTGATGATTGATAAAGGAGCTGATGACTGATAAAGGAGCTGATGACTGATAAAAGAGCTGATGACTGATAAAGGAGCTGATGATTGATGAAGGGGCTGATGACTGATAAAGGAGCTGAATCCTGATAAAGATGCTCATAACTAAATAAGGAGCTGATGACTGATACAGTCGCCAGCTCCTTTATCAGTTGTTAGCTACTGTATCAGTCATCAGCTCCTTTATCAGTTGTTAGTTTCTTTATCATTTGGTTGTTCCTTTATCAGTCATCAGCTTCTTTATCAGTTGTTAGCTGCTGTATCAGCCATCAGCTCCTTTATCAGTTGTTAGCTTCTTTATCAGCCATCAGCTCCTTTATCAGCTGTTAGCTACTGTATCAACCATCAGCTCCTTTATCAGTTGTTAGCTTCTATATAAGTCACCATCTCCTTTATCAGTTGTTAGCTTCTTTATCAGTCATCAGCTCCCTTATCAGTTGTTAGCTTCTTTATCAGTCGCCAGCTCCTTTATCAGTTGTTAGCTTCTATATCAGTCACCATCTCCTTTATCAGTTGTTAGCTTCTTTATCAGTCATCAGCTCCTTTATCAGTTGTTAGCTTCTTTATCAGCCATCAGCTCCTTTATCAGTTGTTAGCTACTGTATCAACCATCAGCTCCTTTATCAGTTGTTAGCTTCTATATCAGTCACCATCTCCTTTATCAGATGTTAGCTTCTTTATCAGTCATCAGCTCCTTTATCAGTTGTTAGCTTCTTTATCAGTCGCCAGCTCCTTTATCAGTTGTTAGCTACTGTATCAACCATCAGCTCCTTTATCAGTTGTTAGCTACTGTATCAACCATCAGCTCCTTTATCAGTTGTTAGCTTCTATATCAGTCACCATCTCCTTTATCAGATGTTAGCTTCTTTATCAGTCATCAGCTCCTTTATCAGTTGTTAGCTTCTTTATCAGTCGCCAGCTCCTTTATCAGTTGTTAGCTACTGTATCAACCATCAGCTCCTTTATCAGTTGTTAGCTACTGTATCAACCATCAGCTCCTTTATCAGTTGTTAGCTTCTATATCAGTCACCATCTCCTTTATCAGTCATCATCTCCTTGATCAATCATCAGCTCCTTCATCAGTCATCAGCTTCTTTATCAGTCATAAGCGCCTTTATGATTTGTTGGCTCCTTTATCAGTCATTAGCCCCTTTATCAGTCATCAGCTCTTTTATCAGTCATCAGCTCCTTTATCAGTTGTTATCTTTTTTATCAGTCATAATCTCCTTGATCAGTCATCAGCTCCTTTATCAATTGTTAGATACTGTATCAGTCATCAGCACCTTTATCATTTTTGGCTTCTTTATCAGTCATCAGCTCCTTTATTAGTTGTTAGCTTCTTTATCAGTCATCATCTCCATGATCAATCATCAGATCCTTTATCATTTGAATGCTCCTTCATCAATCATCAGCTCCTTTATCAGTCATCAGCTCCTTTATCAATTGTTAGCTACTGTATCAGTCATCAGCTCCTTTATCAGTTGTTAGCTTCTTTATCAGTCATCAGCTCCTTTATCAGTTGTTAGCTTCTTTATCAGTCATCAGCTCCTTTATCAGTTGTTAGCTTCTTTATCAGTCATCAGCTCCTTTATTAGTTGTTAGCTACTGTATCAGTCATCAGCTCCTTTATCAGTTGTCAGCTCCTTTATCAGTCATCAGCTCCTTTATCAATTGTTAGCTACTGTATCAGTCATCAGCTCCTTTATCAGTTGTTAGCTTCTTTATCAGTCATCAGCTCCTTTATTAGTTGTTAGCTTCTTTATCAGTCATCATTTCCATGATCAATCATCAGATCCTTTATCATTTGGTTGCTCCTTCATCAATCATCAGCTACTGTATCAACCATCAGCTCCTTTATCAATTGTTAGCTACTGTATCAGTCATCAGCTCCTTTATCAGTTGTTAGCTCCTTTATCAGTCATCAGCTCCTTTATCAGTTGTTAGCTTCTTTATCAGTCATCAGCTCCTTTATCCGTAGTCAGCTCCTTTATCATTCGTTTGCTTCTTTATCAGTCATCATTTCCATGATCAATCATCAGATCCTTTATCATTTGGTTGCTCCTTCATCAATCATCAGCTACTGTACCAACCATCAGCTCCTTTATCAGTTGTTAGCTACTGTGTCAGTCATCAGCTCCTTTATCAGTTGTTAGCTTCTTTATCAGTTTATCAGCTCCTTTATCAGTTGTTACCTTCTTCATCAGTCATCATCTCCTTGATCAATCATTAGCTCCTTTATTAGTTGTTAGGTTCTTTATAAATCGTCAGCACCTTTGTCAGTTGTTTGCTTCTTTATCAGTCATCAGCTCCTTTATTAGTTGTTAGCTTCTTTATCAGTCATCAGCTCCTTTATAAGTTGTTAGCTTCTTTATCAGTCATCAGCTCCTTTATCAGTTGTTAGCTTCTTTATCAGTCTTCATCTCCTTTATCAATCATCAGCTCCTTTATCAGTTCTTAGCTTCTTTATCAGTCATCAGCTCCTTTATTAGTTGTTAGCTTCTTTATCAGTCATCATTTCCATGATCAATCATCAGATCCTTTATCATTTGGTTGCTCCTTCATCAATCATCAGCTACTGTATCAACCATCAGCTCCTTTATCAATTGTTAGCTACTGTATCAGTCATCAGCTCCTTTATCAGTTGTTAGCTTCTTTATCAGTCATCAGCTCCTTTATCAGTTGTTAGCTTCTTTATCAGTCATCAGCTCCTTTATCCGTAGTCAGCTCCTTTATCATTCGTTTGCTTCTTTATCAGTCATCATTTCCATGATCAATCATCAGATCCTTTATCATTTGGTTGCTCCTTCATCAATCATCAGCTACTGTACCAACCATCAGCTCCTTTATCAGTTGTTAGCTACTGCGTCAGTCATCAGCTCCTTTATCAGTTGTTAGCTTCTTTATCAGTTTATCAGCTCCTTTATCAGTTGTTACCTTCTTCATCAGTCATCATCTCCTTGATCAATCATTAGCTCCTTTATTAGTTGTTAGGTTCTTTATAAATCGTCAGCACCTTTGTCAGTTGTTTGCTTCTTTATCAGTCATCAACTCCTTTCTCAGTTGTTACCTTCTTTATCAGTCATCATCTCCTTGATCAATCATCAGCTCCTTAATCAATCATCAGCTCCTTTTTCAGTTGTTACCTTCTTTATCAGTCTTCATCTCCTTTATCAATCATCAGCTCCTTTATCATTTGTTAGCTTCTTTATCAATCATCAGCTCCTTTATCAGTCATCAGCTTCTTTATCAGTCATCAGCTCCTTTATCAGTCATTGGCTCCTTATCAGTTGTTAGCTGTTATATGGTAGTGTAATTGATTGTTAAACAATGATTGAAACTGTCGTTTCTGTGAAAGTTCATTGCATTGTATTTTGACAATGATTAGTTGTCAGGAATAATTATTATTCTCGTCATTGTCATTTCCACTGCTCTCACATTTGATACTGCCATTGAATATTGCACTACCACTCCATTGTGTCCGGCCACTGTAGTTGCTGTGCAGTAATTTGTATTGATTTGAAAACCTAGTGAATTGTGTGATCCAACGGTTGATTGTATATTCATGGTTTCACACTAAGTTCTTTTACGTACATATTTCTGGGTTAAGATATTGTTTTAATTTGGGAATCAACACGCAACATAGCACCTTTATCAGTTTTCAGCCCTTTATCAGTTATCAGCTCATTCAAGAATTTTGTTACTTTTTTTATCATTTATCAGCTCCTTTATAATAATGTCACCTTCCTTATCATATGTCACCCCCTTAATCAGTTATCAGTTCCATTATCAGATATCGGGTCCTTTATCAGTTGCCAGCATCTGTATTAGTTGTCATTCCTTTTTCAGCTGTTACCTTCTTCATTAGTTATCGGTTCCTGTATCAGAAATAAGTGAAGCCCATTTCTGGTGTCCCCCACCGTGATATTGCTGGAATATTGCTAAAAGCGGCGTAAAACCATACTCACTCACTCACTGTATCAGATGTCAGCTCTTTTATCAGTTATCAGTTCCTTTTTCAGGCGTGAGTGTTTATGTCGAAGTAACGTGATGGGGTGATATACCAATGATGAAAGTAAATGCGAATCTTTAATCACAAGATCTCAGCTCGCATACGAGTTGCGCGCCCTGGGCCCCGTTCCACAAAGCGATATTAGTGCTAAGATGATCGTAACTCCCATTCTTTAGCATAGGCTTACGACAGTCGCAGCGCTATGATCGCTTTGTGGAACGGGGCCCTGGTCTCTCCGGTGACTCGTGCCCCGATATAAAGATTTGTTACAAATGAATCATTCAAGTTTTGAAACAGTACTTTCACGCCACCTTTTTCAGTTACTGCTACAGTTGTCATAGCTGCGGGGGACTCGTCATTTATCCGGACAACTCTTCAGGAGCATTTTTCACAGGCAAGGCATCACGTGAGCAATCCAGGTTATAAACTCAAAAGCAGAGAATTCATTTTAAACGAATTCAAGAAGTATGGCCTGGAGACTCACGAGCACAACTTCACGGGGGAAAATGAGGTAAGATGTATTTGGGTTACGATAATAACATGTCCTTCACCTATCTACGTGGGTGCCATACCCGTCCTGAAAATAACTGGCAAAATGAGACGTGCAATATTGTACCTGAAGCCACGTCTGAATTCTGATTTGGAAAAAAAGATTAGAACCCCATACACTTTCTTCGTAAGAGGCGACTTGCAAGAAGAGCACGTGGTGAAAATGTGTCATCTGACTGATCATACGTGGACCTTTCTTCATGCTATCAACCACTGGTTTGTTTAATAACATTATTAGTCAGCAGTTGTGATGAAATGAAGTAATAGTGCTGATGGCTGCCTATGATGATTCGAAAGGTTATAACCTCAAAGTAACTTGTTAATTCAACGTCACGATAACGGGGATCCCATTAATATTAATTCAGGGTGTAAGTCTAATTCACTAGCACCAGCACAGGTACAGTGCTAAAACTTCAAGGATAATAATTGGGGTATCGGAATAATTTTGGACAGATTATGTTGTGATAATTAAGATGGGGAACTGTTTGTTTAAGGCGGTGTGCAAAATTGCCTCCCTTTGATCCCACATCTGCCCTGATTTGAGCCCCATACCCTGAAACTGGCGTTAGTTCCCACTCACTCACTCACTCACTCACTCACTCACCCAAACCACTCACTCACTCACTCACTCACTCACTCACTCATCTGATACCAACGTTACCGTGTTCATGCAGGTTGCCGCTGTCAATGTTATCGGTATCCATAGGGGTGCGACGTTCAACACAAGGGATGACAAGGTCTTCGGTATTGGCGCTCACTACGACACCATGCGCAACACGACAGGTGAATAAAGATTGCCAATTTAGCACTATAAAACAAAATCACGACATGAACACCAGAGATGGGCTTCCCTCATTGTAAACATGTAAGGAATCGAACCTTGGCCATCGTCGTGATGAGCGAACGCTTTAATCACTAGGATGCAACATGCCGATGTTGATGATGCAATAACCGCATTCATGGAATCAAATTCCCAACTCCTAATCTTGTCAAGAGGGGGCTTAGATCTTTGATTTGAATATCATAGATCTTGATGTCTGCTGCAGCTTCTCGTTGCAGCTGATCTTACCAGTACATCCCAGAACAGAGCTAGAGCAACCTCGGTCAGACAACCGACTATGATAATTTTTATTTCCAAAGGTGGTCAACCATCCAAATTGGTTTCTTATAGGAACTCGTGAAGGTCAAGGTAAAAGACAACAAACGGGATCGGGTGGTCAGGCTCGCTGACACAGTGGATGCATGTCATCGTATCCCAGTTGTGTTGATCAATGCCCATTGTGTCATTGTGTCAATCCACTTCCAGTTCAATTTGGCCCCACTGTGCAGAGTTGCGTCCCTTAGGGCACGCAAAAAACCGAGTCTCTTTTTATGGAACAAATTTATACCCAGTTACAGATTACTTTTAACAAACTGTTGCAGGAACGTGTGATGGTTTAATGGACATAATCAACTTTAACAGTTCTTTCAAATTTCCGGTTACTAAAAACAAAACTCGGTATACTTTCTTTTGCCTCTCAGTTTGTATGTGTTTTGTCCAGTTAAGATCCGGTTGGCACTTGTCTTCAGCAGCCCATGCTTGTCATAAGAGGCGAATAACGGGATCGGGCGGTCCGGCTTGCTGACTTAGTTGATGCATGTCATTGTATCCCAATTGCGTGGATCGATAAAGGATTGTCTGGTCCAGACTTGATTATTTACAGACCGAGGTCACCTAGCTGGAATATTGCTGAGTTCGGCGTTACAATACAATCAATCAATATTACAGAAATACAATATCTGTTTATATCAGAAGAGTAAATGATGTTTGTTACATTGGTTTCTGTTGTCTTTACAAGGTGTGGATGACAACGGAAGTGCAATGGCTGCCCTGCTGATTGCTGCAAAGGCTTTGTCTACAAGTCAGAGGGACTATACTATCATGTTCATGGCATTTGACCTTGAGGAGTGGGAGGAAGGTCAGTACTCGCTATACACCCTGTCTGACTGAAACATTGTATTATAGTTATATAGACTCCCAACATCTTCTCTAGCTTAAACATTGTAGTAGTGTTACCCAGAGGTCCTACACTATCCAGCTAAAACATTGTAGTAGTGTTTTCAGAGGCTTCAGACTGTCTGGCTGTCTGAAATATTTAAGAGTGTTATACAGAGACCCTGCACTGTCTAGCTGTCTGAAAGATTCTAGTAGTGTTATATAGAGACCCTGCACTGTCTAGCTGTCTAAAAGATTCTAGTAGTGTTGTACAGAGGCCCCACACTGTCTAGCTGTCTGAAAGATTCTAGTAGTGTTATATAGAGACCCTGCATTGTCTAGCTGTCTAAAAGATTCTAGTAGTATTGTACAGAGGCCCCACACTGTCTAGCTGTCTGAAACATTTTACGAATGTTGTACAGAGGCCCCACGCTGTCTAGCTGTCTGAAAGATTTTACGAGTGTTATATAGAGGCCCCACACTGTCTAGCTGTCTGAAACATTTTACGAGTGTTATACAGAGGCCCCACACTGTCTAGCTGTCTGAAAGATTCTAGTAGTGTTATATAGAGGCCCCACACTGTCTAGCTGTCTGAAAGATTATAGTAGTGTTATATAGAGGCCCCACACTGTCTAGCTGTCTGAAAGATTCTAGTAGTGTTATATAGAGACCCTGCACTGTCTAGCTGTCTAATAGATTCTAGTAGTGTTGTACAGAGGCCCCACACTGTCTAGCTGTCTGAAAGATTCTAGTAGTGTTATATAGAGGCCCCACACTGTCTAGCTGTCTGAAAGATTTTACGAGTGTTATATAGAGGCCCCACACTTTCTAGTTGAAACATTGTAGTAGTGTTATATAGAGGCCCTAAACCGTCTCGCTGAAACATTGTAGTAGTGTTCTATAGAGGCCCTACACTATCTAGTTGAAACATTGTAGTAGTGTTCTATAGAGGCCCCACACTATAGAGCTGAAACATTGGGGTAGTGTTATATGGAGGCCCCACACTGTCTAGCTGAAACATTGTAGTAGTGTAATATATAGGCCCCACACTCTCTAGCTGAAACATTGGGGTAGTGTTATATAGAGGCCCCGCACTGTCTGGCTGCCTGAAACATTTTAGTGTTACCCAGAGGCCCTGCACTGTCTAGCTGAAACATTGTAGTAGTGTTATACAGAGGCCCCACACTGTCTACCTGAAACATTGTAGTAGTGTTATACAGAGGCCCCACACTATCTAGTTGAAACATTGTAGTAGTGTTATATAGAGGCCCCATCATGTTTAGCTGAAACATTCTAGTAGTGTTATACAGAGACCCCATACTGTCTACCTGAAACATTGCAGTAGCGTTATACAGAGGCCCCACACTGTCTAGCTAAAACATTGTAGTAGTGTAATATAGAGGCCCCACAGTGTCTAGCTAAAACATTGTAGTAGTGTAAAATAGAGGCCCCACAGTGTCTAGCTGAAACATTGTAGTAGTGTTATATAGAGGCCCCACACTGTCTAACTGAAACATTCTAGTAGTGTTATACAGAGACCCCATACTGTCTACCTGAAACATTGTAGTAGTGTTATACAGAGGACCCATGCTGTCTAACTGAAACATTCTAGTAGTGTTATACAGAGACCCTAAACTGTCTAGATGAAACATTTTAGTAGTGTTATACAAAGGACCCACACCATCTAGCTGAAACATTGTAGTAGCGTTATACAGAGGACCTACACTGTCTACCTGAAACATTGTAGTAGTGTTATACAGAGGACCCACGGTGTCTAGCTGAAACATTGTAGTAGCGTTAAACAGAGGACCCACAATTCTAGCTGAAACATTGTAGTAGTGTTATATAGAGGCTCTAAACCGTCTCGCTGAAACATTGTAGTAGTGTTCTATAGAGGCCCCACACTATCTAGTTGAAACATTGTAGTAGTGTTCTATAGAGGCCCCACACTATCGAGCTGAAACATTGGGGTAGTGTTATATGGAGGCCCCACACTGTCTAGCTGAAACATTGTAGTAGTGTTATATATAGGCCCCACACTCTCTAGCTGAAACATTGGGGTAGTGTTATATAGAGGCCCCGCACTGTCTGGCTGCCTGAAACATTTTAGTGTTACCCAGAGGCCCTGCACTGTCTAGCTGAAACATTGTAGTAGTGTTATACAGAGGCCCCACACTGTCTACCTGAAACATTGTAGTAGTGTTATACAGAGGCCCCACACTATCTAGTTGAAACATTGTAGTAGTGTTATATAGAGGCCCCATCATGTTTAGCTGAAACATTCTAGTAGTGTTATACAGAGACCCCATACTGTCTACCTGAAACATTGCAGTAGCGTTATACAGAGGCCCCACACTGTCTAGCTAAAACATTGTAGTAGTGTAATATAGAGGCCCCACAGTGTCTAGCTAAAACATTGTAGTAGTGTAAAATAGAGGCCCCACAGTGTCTAGCTGAAACATTGTAGTAGTGTTATATAGAGGCCCCACACTGTCTAACTGAAACATTCTAGTAGTGTTATACAGAGACCCCATACTGTCTACCTGAAACATTGTAGTAGTGTTATACAGAGGACCCATGCTGTCTAACTGAAACATTCTAGTAGTGTTATACAGAGACCCCATACTGTCTAGATGAAACATTGTAGTAGTGTTATACAAAGGACCCACACCATCTAGCTGAAACATTGTAGTAGCGTTATACAGAGGACCTACACTGTCTACCTGAAACATTGTAGTAGTGTTATACAGAGGACCCACGGTGTCTAGCTGAAACATTGTAGTAGCGTTAAACAGAGGACCCACAATTCTAGCTGAAACATTGTAGTAGCGTTATACAGAGGCCCCAGAGTGTCTAGCTAAAACATTGTAGTAGTGTAATATAGAGGCCCCACAGTGTCTAGCTGAAACATTGTAGTAGTGTTATACAGAGGCCCCACAGTGTCTAACTGAAACATTGTAGTAGTGTTATATGGAGGCCCCACACTGTCTAGCTGAAACATTGTAGTAGTGTAATATATAGGCCCCACACTCTCTAGCTGAAACATTGGGGTAGTGTTATATAGAGGCCCCGCACTGTCTGACTGAAACATTGAACTGGTGTTATTATGAGGCCCACACTGTCTGGCTGCCTGAAACATTTTAGTATTACCCAGAGGCCCTGCTCTGTCTAGCTGAAACGTTGTAGCAGTGTTATACAGAGGCCCCACACTGTCTAGTTGAAAAAATTGTAGTAGTGTTATACAGAGGCCCCACACTGTCTAGCTGAAACATTCTAGTAGCGTTATACAGAGGCCCCACACTGTCTAGCTGAAACAGTGTAGTAGTGTTATACAGAGGCCCCACACTGTCTCGCTGAAACATTCTAGTAGTGTTATACAGAGGCCCCACACTGTCTACCTGAAACATTGTAGTAGTGTTATTCAGAGGCCCCACACTGTCTAGCTGAACCATTGTAGTAGTGTTATACAGACGCCCCCACTGTCTAGCTGAAACATTGTAGTAGTGTTATACAGAGGCCCCACACTGTCTAGCTGAAACATTGTAGTAGTGTAATATAGAGGCCCAACAGTGTCTAGCTAAAACATTGTAGTAGTGTAATAGACAGTCCCCACAGTGTCTAGCTGAAACATTCTAGTAGTGTTATACAGAGACCCCATACTGTCTAGCTGAAACATTGTAGTAGTGTTATATAGAGGCCCCACACTGTCTAGCTGAAACATTGAAGTGGTGTTATTATGTGGCCCACACTGTCTGGCTGCCTGAAACATTTTAGTGTTACCCAGAGGCCCTGCTCTGTCTAGCTGAAACGTTGTAGCAGTGTTATATATAGACCCTACACTGTCTAGCTGAAACATTGTAGTAGTGTTAAACAGAGGCCCCACACTGTCTACCTGAAACATTGTAGTAGTGTAATACAGAGGCCCCACAGTGTCTAGCTAAAACATTGTAGTAGTGTAATATAGAGGCCCCACACTGTCTAGCTGAAACATTGTAGTAGCGTTATACAGAGGCCCCACACTGTCTAGCTTAACATTGTAGTAGTGTAATATAGAGGCCCCACAGTGTCTAGCTAAAACATTGTAGTAGTGTAATATAGAGGCCCAACAGTGTCTGGCTGAAACATTGTAGTAGTGTTATATAGAGGCCCCACACTGTCTAACTGAAACATTCTAGTAGTGTTATACAGAGGACCCACGCTGTCTAACTGAAACATTGTAGTAGTGTTATACAGAGACCCCATACTGTCTAGCTGAAACATTGTAGTAGCGTTATACAGAGGACCCACACTGTCTACCTGAAACATTGTAGTAGCGTTATTCAGAGGACCCACAGTGTCTAGCTAAAACATTGTAGTAGCGTTATACAGAGGACCCACACTGTCTACCTGAAACATTGTAGTAGCGTTAAACAGAGGACCCACAATTCTAGCTGAAACATTGTAGTAGCGTTATACAGAGGTTCCAGAGTGTCTAGCTAAAACATTGTAGTAGTGTAATATAGACGCCCCACAGTGTCTAGCTGAAACATTGTAGTAGTGTTATACAGAGGCCCCACAGTGTCTACCTGAAACATTGAAGTGGTGTTATTATGTGGCCCACACTGTCTGGCTGCCTGAAACATTTAAGTGTTACCCAGAGGCCCTGCTCTGTCTAGCTGAAACGCTGTAGCAGTGTTATATATGGCCCTACACTGTCTAGCTGAAACATTGTAGTAGCGTTATACATAGACCCCATACTGTCTACCTGAAACATTGTAGTAGTGTTATACAGAGGCCCTACACTGTCTAACTGAAACATTGTAGTAGTGTTATACAGAGGCCCCACACTGTCTAGCTGAAACATTGTAGTAGTGTAATACAGAGGCCCCACAGTGTCTAGCTGAAACATTCTAGTAGTGTTATACATAGACCCCATACTGTCTACCTGAAACATTGTAGTAGTGTTATACAGAGGCCCTACACTGTCTAACTGAAACATTGTAGTAGCGTTATACAGAGGCCCCACACTGTCTAGCTGAAACATTGTAATTAGCGTTATACAGAGGCCCCACACTGTCTAGCTGAAACATTGTAGTAGTGTAATACAGAGGCCCCACAGTGTCTAGCTGAAACATTCTAGTAGTGTTATACATAGGACCCACACTGTCTAACTGAAACATTCTAGTAGTGTTATACAGAGACCCCATACTGTCTACCTGAAACATTGTAGTAGTGTTATACAGAGGACCCACACTATCTGTGCTGAAACATTGTAGTAGTGTGATACAGAGGCCCCACACTGTCTAACTGAAACATTTTAGTAGTGTTATACATAGACCCCATACTGTCTAGATGAAACATTGTAGTAGTGTTATACAGAGGACCCACACCATCTAGCTGAAACATTGTAGAAGTGTTATACAGAGGACCCACACCATCTAGCTGAAACATTGTAGTAGTGTTATACAGAGGACCCACACCATCTAGCTGAAACATTGTAGTAGTGTTATACAGAGGACCCACACTGTCTAGCTGAAACATTGTAGTAGCGTTATACAGAGGACCCACACCATCTAGCTGAAACATTGTAGTAGCGTTATACAGAGGACCCACACTGTCTACCTGAACATTGGAGTAGCATTAAACAGAAGACCCACAATTCTACCTGAAACATTGTAGTAGCGTTACACAGAGGACCCACACTATCTAGCTGAAACATTGTAGTAGTGTTATACTAAGATTCAGCAGCCCGTCAGCAGCAGAAGACGATATTATTTCTTTACCTAGTATTTTGGGGGTGATTAACATTGAAGTGGTTAACATCAGATGCGGACAAAGCGTGTTCTGAAACTGGGTGTTGAAGTGAAGCCTTCATCACCTCCTGGATCCCTACCTACTGGGCAACACCCCCAGAATTTGCCGGCTTCATCGTCATGGACACAATCATGAACTTCAACGAGACCCAGGAGACTCAGGCTCTGCCACACCTTCTAAGCTTGGTGAGAACATAACTCAGGCCTAGTGTTCCAGACGCCTGCTCAGTTTTCTGGTTGGGCAACACTCTAAGCAGCTAAATATGTATTGTTCACTTCTCTAAATCAGTTTTTACAAGAAGTACTTGCTCGTGTTTGAATCCGCTGTGCAGAGTAGTCAGGAGCAAGTTATCATGGGTTCGAATCCCGGTTTGCACTGATTGTTTGTTCATGTTTATCAGCACCATTGCCGTCCTCGTAGTGCATCAAAGTGGTAAAACCTGCAACACACCAGGCTTTCCTCACAGATTAAACTGACACGCCGTGATATAACTGGAATACTGTTCCAAGCGGCATCCAACTCACTCACTCAGCTCATAAAATGCATTCCTTTGTTACAGCTGTTTCCTAACACCACACTGAGCATCGCCTCTGATAACCACCAGGGGGACTTTCTAGCTTGCATCTCACGTGGCTACGATGCTCCTTTGGTCCGAGTATTTGAAGAGGCGTTCAAGCAATCGGGAGAGGCGAAGTTTGAGCTGGAGGTTTTCGTCATTAAATCCTTGCAGGAGAAGATGCTATCGGCTGTTGATGCCCAAACCTACTCAGTATTGCTCCGAAGTGACCATGCGCGGTTCTGGAAAAAGGGAATAACAGCAATATTCCTGACGGACACAGGTAGGACAACACCAGGATGGGTTAGAAGCTTCATGCGTGAAAAATGAACCTTGTGCGATGATTCTTGTCATCATTTCTGGAATATTTCGAATTTATTTTTTGTGCAAATTGTCCCGGTTATTACTGATAGGGAGGGACATGCAATCCCTTTACATCTGGTGTCATCACTGATTTTCAGTGATCCATTCATATAATTTACACCGCTATTTTGTGTGTGTGTGTGTTGATGATGATGTTGGAGATTTAACAAGCGCTTCCTGAGGCTTCCTTCCGATTTCTGGTGTGTGTGTGTGTGTGTGTGTGTGTGTGTGTGTGTGTGTGTGTGTGTGCAACTAGCTTGTAAAAACATCTTACAAATCGGACAACAAACACGTCAAAAATATCATTGCCACAAACGATACAGAAAAAATAAAATCACGATGCCTGTTTATTTATCATGCCTATGAAAGAAGAAAGTATTATTAAACACTGTTTAAAATGATGTATATTGCCACTACCATACTTGTAAATTGTTATTTGTACATGGGCCCATGGCCCACATACCGAATTCAGTATTGATTGATTGACTGACAAAGCACAGCTCTACTCTTGTCATGCGACGGCGGCATCTGAACGAACCAGAAAATCAAGTGATGACCAGACATCCAGTCACAATCAGTTGCCTTGTAAATTCAAGGATTTGTTCCATAATCCAAGGCCACCAGATCCATAACATTTCTATGGGTTGGTATCACCAGTAAACACTGCAATAACATTTCGTACACAATAGAGTATACACACGGTGGAACACAAATTTATAATTGAATAACATTGGATGTCTTGGACATGATGTAAGTGGGGATCTAAGATACCCATAAACGTTGTAACGACTATTGGTATACAGCATTAGTTTTTGATACTCTTTTGCTTCAGGGAACTACCGAGGGTATATGAGTACTTGCTACCATCAACAATGTGACAACATGAGTCGCATAACGGACGACATGATCATGTCAGTTGCCAAGACAGCTCGCGCCCTCGTAGCAACCGGAAACAAAATGGCGCCTCCCCTTCCTGGTGACGTTGGATCAGGTAATTCATAAATGAAAGATGATAATTTGTTTGTTTACCAATAAAACTCCGCAAAGGAGTGTGAATTGGTCTTTAGAAATCTGTGCTTGCCATAAGAGGCGACTAACGGGATCGGGTGGTAAGGCTCCCTGACTTGGTTGATGCATGTCATCGTATCCCAATTGTGTGGATCGATGCTCATGATGTCAATCTCTGGATTGTCTGGTCCAGATTCCATTTTTACAGACCGCGGAATAGCTGGAATATTGCTGAGTGCGACGTTAAACAAAAAACAAACAAATCATTGCTTGTGGTCAAATTTGGGTAGGGTTCGTTCCGAAAGCATCACTCGTTAACCGTTCAATATGCCTTCATCAAAATTTGCATACACATCACGCAAGTACTGAAAGGTTTATTTTCTCAATGGTGTATCTTTTGCCTTCCCAAGGCATCTACCATCCCTCCTACCATCCTCCCACCTACCATCCTCCCACCTACCATCCCCACCTACCATCCTCCCATCTACCATCCTCCCACCTACCATCCTCCCACCAACCATCCTCCCACCTACCATCCTCCCACCTACCATCCTCCAACCTACCATCCTCCCACCAACCATCCTCCCACCTACCATCCTCCCACCTACCATCCTCCAACCTACCATCCTCCCACCAACCATCCTCCCACCTACCATCCTCCCACCAACCATCCTCCCACCAACCATCCTCCCACCTACCATCCTCCCACCAACCATCCTCCCACCTACCATCCTCCCATCTACCATCCTCCCACCTACCATCCTCCCACCTACCATCCTCCCATCTACCATCCTCCCACCAACCATCCTCCAACCTACCATCCTCCCACCAACCATCCTCCAACCTACCATCCTCCCACCAACCATCCTCCCACCAACCATCCTCGCACCAACCATCCTCCCACCCACCATCCTCCCACCAACCATCCTCCCACCAACCATCCTCCCACCTACCATCGTCCCATCTACCATCCTCCCACCAACCACCCTCCCACCAACCAACCTCGCACCAACCATCCTCCCACCCACCATCCTCCCGCCAACAATCCTACCACTTACCATCCTCCCACCAACCATCTTCCCATCTACCATCCTACCACCTACCATCCTCGCACCAACCATCCTCCCACCTACCATCCCCACCTACCATCCTCCCACCTACCATCCCCACCTACCATCCTCTATCTACCATCCCTCCCATCTACCATCCCTCCCACCTACCACCAACCATCCCCCACCTACCATTCTCTCACCTACCATCCTCCTACCTACCATCCTCCCACCTACCACCTACCATTCTCCCACCTACCATCCTCCTACCTACCATCCTCCCACCCTACCACCTGCCATTCCCCCCCCCCACACACACACACACACACCTACCACCCTACCACCTACCATCCCCCACACACACACCTACCATCCTCCCACCTACCACCACGCCCCCCCCCCCCCCACACACACACACCTACCATCCTCCCACCCTGCCACCTACCATCCCCCCCCCCCCCCCCCCCCCCCCCCCCACACACACACACACCTACCATCCTCCCACCTACCACCCTACCACCCACCATCCTCCCAGCTACCATCCTCCTGCCTCTTTACCTCAAAAGAACTTTAATTCAGACATTTGACTTTCAGCCGAACGCTTTGGGATGTCCAGTCTCTTGTGGCTTCTTGTGATCATCCCGGGGTTGGCCTACATATAGAAATATCTACATGACGCCATGTTGTCATAAGTGCAGTACCTGTGTTATGCTCGCAGAGGTCGTCCCAATTGCCTATATCGATGCTTTATGGTGTCAAACACTGGATTATCTGGTCCTGGCTCGATTATTTACAGACCGCCGTCAGGTAGCTGAAATATTGCAGAGTGCGGCGTTAAACAACAAACCGTCAAACAATTTTGAAAGAGAGGCCCTTTCTCTTTTCCACAGTACTATGATCGTGGGGTTCGAATCCCAGATTTCCTCCGATTATCACCCCTGTTTTAACCAAACCGTCAAAAACGGAAATACTATTCGAAGCGGGTTATAAACTCCAAACTCTTATGCTGGCGAAACCGCATTATCGGTGGTTCGAGAAGGGAGCTAACTCCGTTTGCCTAATCGAATGTTCGAGGTGGGCCCACATTCGAAACTAAACGCACTTGTTGTTGAGAATATATACTACGTAAACAAACCCGCATAACGAACTCATAATTTGTCTATTTAAAATATAATTGGATTAAAATGTACAAATAAGATGGCAATACAGCAGAACTCACTTCTACGAACATCGCCAAACTAGGTCGTGGGGTTATTAATATTCATGAGTTATTCCTTTTATGGAACAAGTTCTCGGAAACGTCTGAGGCTTGTATCATGTCCGAGATCAATTCAAGTGTAGACATATGTTCAGGCTTATATCGCCACCAATACTTATGATTAGATTGATGTGTTATACTGGAAAAGGTAGAATGAGTGGTATTGCCTCTGTAATTTTAATTTGAAGTAGATTTATGTTTCTTGCTTGGTAGCTATTTTTGTAAAACTAGTGTGGTCAGCTATGACGCAGTTATTCAAACTTCAAAGACTTTTGTGCCTTTTATGGAATTAATGTCACACGAAATGATTTATAAAGATATTTCCCATCAATATTACAAAATATGAATAATATAAAATGTCACATAATGACAAACGTGAGCCCAATAGCCTAAATGACTTCGTCAACCTTAAGAAACCCAGCGATTTAAAAATGTGGGCCCACCTGTTTCGATCACTATAAGACGGGAACAATGTGGGCCCACATTTTAGAAAATGGTTATAAGTAAGCAAAGCTAATGAAGCTAGCGATTTTTTTAATGTGGTCCCTCCTTTTGCAATCACTATGACGGAAGAACGTCTACCCACTAGGCAATATACAAATGTGGGCCCACTTGTTTCGATCACCATATATGACGGGAACAATGTGGGCCCACATTTGAGAAAATGATTATCAATATTTAAGTAGAATTTCGCGATTAATAAATGTGGTCCCTCCTGTTGCAATCAATATGACGGAAGAACGTCTGCCAACATTTAGGGATTGATTATCAGAACTAACGAAACAACCTCACGAAGCTAGGCGAAATACAAATGTGGGCCCACTTGTTTCGAACACCATAGATGACGGGAAAAATGTGGGCCCACATTTTGGAAAATGGTTATCACCACTAAACCAATCTTAGAAGATGTACTGATGGAAACATAAATATATAATGCATTCAAACATTTAATTACCTTACGTTTTAATAAGCTGGGCATTTAATAGCTGGACCAACAACGTGCAGCGTGGGTGACGCCATTTCTCGCAAATACGAAAACAACGGAGATAGCTCCCGTTTGAAATTAGAGTGACCTCCCTTTCCCAATATGAACCACTGATAATGCGGTTTCGCCCTTATTCTTGTCGTAGTTATTGTATTTCTATTTCTAAGACTCGAAATAAAATCAGCTGAAACAGATCACAGAAATGTTTTGTTTGATGAATAAAATACGACCTGAGGAAACATGCATTTGATCCATACAAGTACGTATACTTGTAACGGTGATACTAGTATGTGGCAAACCTTACGTGGCCCTTTCGATATTGCAACATCGTTTGTGCAACGGTCTCTTCCTGAATGAGACTAGGGCAGTGACACATTGCAAAACAACATCCCAGCCAAACCCACTCCGATTGATGGACCTGGTCAGTACCGTCTGATTCGTTTACATCAGGGGCGATCGGGTAGCCTAGTGGTTAAAGCGTTCGCTCGTCACGCCGAAGACCCTGGTTCGATTCCCGACATGGGTAAAATGTGTGAAGCCCATTTCTGGTGTACCCCGCCGTGATATTGCTGGAATATTGCTAAAAGCGGCGTAAAACCATACTCACTCACTTACTCTGAGATGCCATGGATCCTCGTGTTCGACAGTGACCTCATCCCCCTGCAGATTTCTTGCTTACTCCGGATTATATTGGGGGTCGTCTCCAAAGCAAAGAGTAAATAAGTAAAGGTTCCCACAATTAGATAGAATGACATAACCAACACGAGCGTGTACGGTTCATTTTCATTACAATATCCAACCTGGCAAGGTGTATATATTTTGAATGTTGTAACCATGATCAAACAACGTTTGTTCAAAAGACGTATGACGTTCTTTGAAATCTTCTTAAAAAGAGTATGATCCATTGTACCTCGACATTTGTGAAATGTAGACACCAAAGGCTGGCGCTGCTGGAATATTGCTCGATATAAAGGGAAGATTGACAACAGAAACGCATGTGGCGTTGTGTTCGTCTTGTCATACAGTCTTGTGGAGATGTTTTGTGCATGCACTAAAATTTAGGGGCTATTCACATAAGACGGGTACATTTCAAGTGTAATTGAGTATTAGACATCACTGTCGTATTTCTTTAAGTGCAGAAAGTATTTCGAGCAGATTTCTTTGTTTGTCAGTCAATTCGTGTCCAACGCCTTGCGAAAACACCGGCATTGTTTGTGTTGACAAAGGAGAGCATGCATGGGGAAGCACTTCCCGCTTTCCGCATGCTATTAGCGTTGAATGACATGGAGCTGCTCAACGTTGACTCTTTTTATTTGGGACGGGTTTTTTCCTTCAGGGAACCGGTTATGTTTAAATATAACTAGGAACCTTCTGAATAATACGAATACTCTTGTCCTTCACCACGTCGTGTCGTGTATGGTATTGCGTAACACCGTACTGACGTGACAAGTTTACTCTCTCTATATGCAGTAGTAGTATTGGTGGTTACAGTTGTTGTGGTTACAGTAGGCGTAGTTCTAGACATTACCTGGTATTGTTTGTTTGTTGTTTAACGCCGCACACAGCAATATTCCAGCTATATGACTGCGTCTGTAAATAATCGAGTCTGGACCAGCAAAGCCATTGATTGATATCATGAGCATCCATCCACGCAATTGGGATACGATGACATGTATATCAACCAAGTCAGCGAGTCTGACCACCCGATCCCATTATTCGCATCTTACGACAAGCATGGGTTGCTGAAGACCAGCCTCAACCCGGATTTTCACTTGAGTGAGTGAGTGAGTTGGGTTTAACGCCGCTTTTAACATTATTCCACTCATATCGCGGCGTGTCAGCTTAATGTGGGAGGAAAGCCCGAAGTGATGCAGCTCTCAGGCGTTTACCACTTCGGTGAAACCCACGAGCACGGGTATGGTGCTGACAAACCTAGAAACATAATTAAGGCGAACCGGGATTCGAACCCACAATCATAGGTTTCTGGCGTTCCCAAGGGACGCAACTCTGCACAGCGAATCGCGGCGCCTTAGACGACTGGGCCACCCGTGACCCCTGATCTTCACTGGACAAAAAAACACATAAATTGAGGGGCTAAAGAAAGCATACCGAGTTGTTTTATGTAATTGGACGTTTGAAAGAACTGTTGTTAAATGTGCTAATGTCTATCTAACCATCACACGTTCCCCCGACAGTTTGTAAAAATTAATCTGTAGATGGGTACCATTGTATAAAAATAAATTTGTTCCATAAAGAGAGGCTCGGTTTCTTGCCTGCCCAAGGGACGCAACTCTGCACAGTGTGACCAAATTGAACCGGAAGTGGATGCCAACAGGGTATTATGGTCCAGATCCTCAACTTTGTAACAGTACATATCTGAAAAAAAGTAAAACCATGGGATTGAACGGGGTTTTTTTACATCTACAATTTATTTTGTAAGTGTTAATCGGCATATATACCAGAGAGTCTATATAATATCTTAACACTTGCTGAACACAAGCCAAACGTAGACAATGTGCTGCACCGTACTGTGTCAGCCCATCAAGTTTACCGCCTATTTCACAGTACCTGCTAAAACATTAGGTGAAACTAATGAAATAAATGTGGCTCTGCCTTGTATCATGAGGGGAATCGAACCCAGGTAATACTGTTTAACCAATAGTCTATACCATACCGTCCGAAGCAGAGGATTGAAATTTAGAGTTATGTCCCTTAGCATGAGGGTCCGCTTGATGGTATTCATTGCTGTTTGTTTGGAGAATTATTCGTAAACTGCGCTGATTCTTTCTCTGCCAACAGCAAATCTAGACTTAAATAAGTACTTCTTAATTCTCCAGTCATACAACACCAGTTAAACGGGATGAACCAGGCTGGGTCTTATCCTTGTAAAAAATCAACAGAATTATTTTTTTCTGAGCTTTAGGCTCTCGGCCCATAATACAAACAAGAAGGAAAAAAATAAATGTTAAAAAAGGCTGGAGTACAGTTCACTTTATGTTACGGGGATAGATGTTTTGTTCCTAATCTTTAATACTTGACAAAGAAAGTTAATCAAACATTTAATAATATGGATATTGTCCGTTGACATAAGTCTTACAAAGGGTTCAGTTGTTGGTGTATTGATGAGATGATTGTGAAGTATTCCCTTCTTGGTTGGGAAACGCTGTCACATCATACATGCACTTCATACTCAACACAATCAAGTTGTCTCGCACCGCAGAATGAAACAGAGGCGTTCTTCATATGGAGTCGTATGAAGGCCACATTCAATATCAAGTCTGAAGTTATTACACCGAAACATGGTTATTATTTTCCCTTGATAAGGGCTAAGGTCAGAGGTTAAAAAATTGTCTACATTTAGTAAATATTTAAACTGAGAATAATATCTGCATTATGATGAATGGTGGATGAGTGATGTGTAATTAAAAGAAGCAGTCATAAAATCTCTGTTTGACGATAAACCTTAATGAGTCGCAGCCAAAACCATATCAAATTGAAATATTTTTTTTAATAAGACGCTCAAGTATTTTTACCATTATCATCAAGAGTTTTAATCCTTTTATGCGCTTGGTAGGGAAATCTATGCTGTGGTGGGGCGGTCGGGTAGCCTAGTGGTTAAAGCGTTCGCTCGTCACGCCGAAGACCCGGGTTCGATTCCCGACATGGGTACAATGTGTGAAGCCCATTTCTGGTGTCCCCCGCCGTGATATTGCTGGAATATTGCTAAAAGCGTCGTAAAACCATACTCACTCACTC